CTGTATGTTTGCTTTTTCATGGTCAACAGAAAACTATAGAACATTGAAATTCTGTATTTTATTTTATTTATTTTTTATTTTTTTGGAGACAGAGTCTTTCTCTGTCGCCAGGCACCAGGCTGGAGTGCATTAGCATGATCTCGGCTCACTGCAACCTCTGTTTCTTGGGTTCAAGCAATTCTTCTGCCTCAGCCTCCCAAGTAGCTGGGACTACAGGCGTGCATCACCACGCCCAGCTAATTTTTGTTTTTATTTAAGAAGCGATGGGGTTTCACCATATTGGACAGGATGGTCTCAATCTCTTGACCTCATGATCCGCCTGCCTCGGCCTCCCAAAGTGCTGGGATTACAGACATGAGCCACTGCGCCCGGCCCTAAATTTCCCTCTTAACACTGCTTTAGCTGTGTCCCAGAGATTCTGGTAAGTTATCTCTTTGTTCTTATTGTTTTCAAAGAACTTCTTGATTTCTGTCTTAATTTCTTTATTTACCCAAAAGTCATTCAGGGGCAGATTGTTCAATTTTCAAGGAAATGTGTGGTTTTGAGTGAGTTTCTTAATACTGAGTTCTAATTTGATTTCACTGTGGTCTGAGAGGCTGTTTGTTATGATTTCAGTTCTTTTGCATGTGTTGAGGAGTGTTTTACTTTTAATTATGTGACCAATTTTGGAATAAATGCCATGTGGGATTGAGAAGAATGTATATTCTGTTTATTTGGGGTAGAGAGTTCTATAGATGTCTACTAGGTCCACTTGATCCAGAGCTGAGTTCAAGTCCTGAATATCCTTGTTAATTTTCTGTCTCATTGATCTGTTTAATATTGACAGTGGGGTGTTAAAGTCTCCCACTATTATTGTGTGGGAGAGTAAGTCTCTTTGTAGTTCTTTAAGAACTTGTTTTATGAATCTGGGTGCTCCTGTCTTGGGTGCATATATATTTAGGATAGTTAGCTCTTGTTGATGTGTTCCCTTTACCATTATGTAAAGCCCTTCTTTGTCTTTTTTGTCCTTTGTTGGTTTAAAGTCTGTTTTGTTAGAGACTGAGATTGCAACCCCTGCTTTTCTTGTTGTTGTTTTTTGCATTTCATTTGCTTGGTAAATTTCCCTCCGTCCCTATATTTTGAGCCTCCATACCTTTGCACGTGAGTGGGTCTCCTAAATACAGCACACTGGTGGGTCTTGACTCCTTATCCAATTTGCCAATCTGTGTCTTTTAATTGGGGCAGTTAGCCCATTTACATTTAACGTTAGTATTGTTATTGTGAATTTGATCCTGTCTTCATGCTGCTATTTAGTTATTTTGCACTCTAGTTGATGCAGCTTCTTCATAGTGTCATTTTGATGTATTTTTGCAGTGGCTGGTACCAGTTTCTCCTTTCCATATTTAATGCTTCCTTTAGAAGCTCTTGCAGGGCAGGCCTGGTAGTAATGAAATTCCTCAGCATTTGCTTGTCTGGAAAGGATTTTGTTTCTCCTTCGCTTATGAAGCTTAGTTTGACTGGATATGAAATTCTGGGTTGAAAATTCTTTTCTTTAAGAATGTTGGATATTGGCCCACAATGTCTTCTGGCTTATAGAGTTTCTGTTGAGAGATCCACTGTTAGTCTGATGGGCTTCCCTTTGTAGATTACCTGGCGTTTCTCTCTGGCTGCCCTTAACAGTTTTCCTTCATTTCAAACTTGGAGAATCTGATAATTATGTGTCTTGTGGTTGATCTTGCTGTGGAGTATCTTAATGATATTCTCTGTATTTCCTGAATTTGCATGTTGGCCTGTCTTGATAGGTTGGGAACTTTCTCATGGATAATATCCTGAAGTGTGTTTTCCAGTTTGTTTCTATTTTCCCCATCTCTTTCTCATACTGCAATCAACCGTAGGTTTGTTCTTTTCACATAGACACATATTTCCTAGAGACTTTTTTTGTTCTTTTGTATTGTTTTTTCTCTATTCTTGTCTGCATGTCTTATTTCAGTAAGGTGGTCTCCAAACTCTGATATCTTTTCTTCCACTTGGTTGATTCAGCTGTTGATACATGTGTATGCTTCACGCAGGTCTTGTGCTGCGTTTTTCAGCTCCATCAGGTCATTTATGTTCCTCTTTAAACTGACTGTTCTAGTTAGTGTTCCCTCTAATCTTTTATCAAGGTTCTTAGCTTCTTTGCCTTGAGTTAGAACATGCTCCTTTAGCTCATCATAGTATTTCATTATCCATTTTCTGAAGCCTACTTCTGTAAGTTCATCCATCTGATCCTCTTCCAGTTTGGTGCCCTTGATGGAAAGATGTTGCAATCATTTGGAGGAGAAGAGGCACTCTGGCCTTTTGGGTTTTCAGCACTTTTTTCATTGATTCTTACTCATCTTGGTGAGTTTGTCTAGTTTTGATCTTTGAGGCTGCTTATCCTTGGATGGGCTTTTTGTGAGGGACTTTTTTGTTGCTGTTGATGCTATTGTTGTCACTTCCTGTTTGTTTTTCTTTCAATAGTCAAGTCCCTCTTTTGTATGGCTGCTGCAGTTTGCTGGGGGTTCACTTCAGGCCCTATGAATTCATCTGATTAACTCCTGTGCCCAGAGATGTTACTCTAAGAGACTGGAACACAGCAAAGATAGGTTTCTGCTCCTTCTTCTGGGAACTCTGAACTCAAGGGGTACCAACCTGATGCCAGTATGATTGCTCAGGGTGTCTGACAACCCCAGCTGGAGGGTGTCACCCAGTTGGATAGCACAGGGAGCAGGACCCATTTAACAAAGCACTTTGTCACTTGTGGAAATGGTGTGCTTCACTGGGGGGAAACCCACTCATCTGGGCTGCCTAGATTCCTCAGAACTACCAGGAGCGGCTAAGTCTGCTGGTCTGCACAGGCTGTGGCCACCACTCCCCCTACAGTCTCAGGCCTAGGGAGATCCGGGTTCTGTCCCTGAGCCTCTGCTGGAGTTATTTGAGATCTTGCATGGAAACCCCACCCAATGAGGAAGGATGGTCAGGGTTAGGCCTGTAGAGGCACGCTGCCTGCAGACTGCCACAGTTGTGTGCTGGGCTGTAGGGGCAAGTCTTGGGACTGAGCTCTCCAGCCTTCCCGGCTCCAGCAGGAGAAAAGAGCACCCTAGAGCTATAGAAATGGCTAAAGCCCTTCCCTGGCCCAGGGATCTCAGCGTGTTAGGCCGTCACCAGTCCCAGTGCTGGCTGCTGTTCCTCCCCTAAGGAGCTCAAAGGGCTTAGACAGCAGGCAGCCAGCAGTGGATGCTGGTCGCCCCTT